AGCCAAGTCTCTTACTCACGTCCATCCGATAGAAACTTTGATGGCAGAAAGAAAAGGGAAGCTCTCCCCTCCTCCAGGAAGAGGTGGAGCCAAACAATACTGATTGACAGCTATAAGTAACCAATCCATCCAACTATACATAAGCAGGGTAAAAAGGCAGGATTAAGCATGATACAACAGTTTAAATCTTGCAACTAACAGTTCTACACATAGGTGGTGCCACTCGCGCCATCAAATTCTTTAATTCACATTGGAGTCCCTGGTAGCGCAGTGGGTTAAACCTCTGTGCCAGCAGGACTGAAGACTGACAGGTCACAGGTTCGAATCTGGGGAGAGTGTGGATGAGCTCCCTCTATCAGCTCCAGCTCCTCATGTGGGGACATGAGAGAATCCTCCCATAAGGATGGTAAAAAAAACATCAAAACATCTGGGCATCCCCTGGGCAATGTCCTTGCAGACGGCCAATTCTCTCACACCAGAATCGACTTGTAGTTTTTCAAATCACTCCTAACACAACAAAAAAAATCACATTTGTATGAAATTAATGTCAAATCAATGTCAATCTGTCATATCTTGCTTGTCTTGCAAGGCAACATGTGTTGGTGGTCTTTGCTGCTCTATTGACTTTAATGTTCTTATTGTCATCCCAACTTCTAAAGGGAGCAAAAATAATATGCTTCCTGGCTTTTAATAATTCATATTAGGTCTTATTTCTTTAAAACTTTTAACACTTCAATACAGAACTGGTTTGTTGTGCTGTTCTTCCTCATGGGCACTCTAGTTGTTGCTGTTCTTCTCTGCTTGGATTTTAAGCCCATACTTTTAATTTTCTTATTCAACTCTGAAATAAGGCTGTTGTCCAATTCATGTTCCTTCCTATTTAAGAAGTGGGTTGTTTGGGATTTAGAGATCTGTTTTACCATTCTTCAACTGTACCAAACCAATCTTAATGCCAGGTTTTTTTCCGGTTCTGCTCCTTCATTCTCCAGAGAAGCACTTACATTTACCTGCTGGAAGAGTAACTTGGTTCCTTATTGAAAAGTATTAATCAATGAAGGTTGGTATCACAGGAAAGCTGTGAAAAGTCTGAAAGAGCATCAAGTTTGCTATTTGATGACTCCCCATTGTCTTTAGAAAGTCTTGCTGCTTGTTCTGTTTTTCTCCCTTGTCAGAGAAGTTCGTATATTGACTGAACTCAGCAGCCCAGCTGCTTGAGGGGAAGTTGAGACAGTCTACCAATGTTTTCTTGTATTGATGGAGGTCTTTAGAGGAGGCAAAAACCAGAAGAGACAAAGCACAGAGGAAATGTACATGGCTTGCTATTAGAATGAAACACATTCTCATTGTCACAGTGAGGAAGGAAAACAGTGAATTCTACTGCCTGTCTTGGCTTAGTATCTTTTTTCATCGTGGAACTGTATTGTTGAAAGCATGCTCTTCACCTTGGATGACCTGAGATCAGGAGGCTTGAGTTGAGTTCAGTGGTTTGAACTGGAGCCTATTTAGGATTGCAGCCCCAGAATCCCTGAACCAATGGTCATGCTGCTTCAGGGATTCTGGAACATGGGAAACTAGCTTATACTGAATCATCCTGCTCAGTACTATAAACAATGATAGGAAGTTGCTCTCCAGAGTTCCAGGAAGGATTCCTTCCCAGCCTTACCAGGAGATCTCTGGTCATCTCATATCCAGGTACCAACTAGGTCTGAACACAGTTCCTTTCTGAAATTAGACAAGATTTAGTGTTTTTAGGATTTTGTGGCAATAACATACCCATGAAAGCTGTAGAAAAAAAACACTCCAGGGTCAGATAGAAAGTCGCCGACACATGTATAAAGTTCTTGTGGGTTTTTTCGGGCTATATGGCCATGTTCTAGAGGCATTTCTCCTGACGTTTCGCCTGCATCTATGGCAAGCTTCCTCAGAGGTCAGCTTGCCATAGATGCAGGCGAAACGTCAGGAGAAATGCCTCTAGAACATGGCCATATAGCCCGAAAAAACCCACAAGAACTGAGTGATTCCGGCCATGAAAGCCTTCGACAATACATGTATAAAGCTTTGCCCCTGGCGTTTATTTATTTATTTCATTTTCGGTATTTCTACCCCGTTTCTTCTCAATCCCTGAAAGGAGACTCAAGATGGCTTGCATTTTGACAGTGATTTGATGCCACTACAAATAAGCAATTACAATAATATAACAACCATTAAAATATATAAAGAATTAATTAAAAACTGTACATAAAGCATTAATTAAAACAATAAACAGTATCATCACCTGTCATGTCATTCCAGTCAATTTCCAACCAAAGTGCTAGTTAAATCTGTGCTCCGAAAGCCTGGTCCCAAAACCATGATTTCAGTTTCTTTCTGAAAGACAGGAGGGATGAAGCCAATTTTATCTCACTTGGAAGCGTGTTCCACAGGCAGGGGGCCACCACCAAGAAGGCCCTGTCTCTTGCTCCCACCAAGCGCATTTGCAATGTTGGTGGGAGCGAGAGGAAGGCCTCCCCAGATGATCTTAAATTACGAGGTGGGATGTACAGCCAGATGTGTTCGGACAAGTAAGATGGGCCAGAACCGTCTAGAGCAGGGGTCCTTAAACTAAGGCCCGGGGTCCGGATGCGGCCCTCCAAGGTAATTTACCCGGCCCTTACTCAGGGTCAGCCTAAGTCTGTAACGACTCAAAAGCACACAACAACAACAAAAACAATAACAATCCTATCTCATCAGCCAAAAGCAGGCCCACACTTCCCATTGAAATACAAATACATTTATATTTGTTAAAATTATTCTTCATTTTAATTATTGTGCTGTTTTAAAGTGGTTTTTGCACTACATATGCAAAGTGTGCATAGGAATTCATTCATGGTTTTTTTTTTCAAATTATAATCTGGCCCTCCAACAGTTTGAGGGATTGTGACCTGGCCCTTTGTTTAAAAAATTTGAGGACCCCTGATCTAGAGCTTTATAGATCAAAACCAGAACTGTGAATTGAGCTTGGAAGTGGACTGGCAGCCAGTGGAGCTGACATAACAGGGGAGTGGTATACTCCTTGTATGTCACTCCAATTAGTAATCTGGCCGCCGCCCATTAGACTAGCTGGAGTTTGACCATTTTAAGCTTCCGAGCCATCTTCAAAGGCAGCCCCACATAGAGTGCGTTGCAGTAATCTATTCGGGATGTGACCAGAGTGTACACGACCATAGCCAGATCAGACTTCCCAAGGTACAGGGTGCAGCTGGCGTACCAGTTTTAACTGTGCAAAAGCTCCCCTAGCCACTGCCAAAACCTGGGGTTCCAGGCTCAGTGATGTATGCAGGATCACTCCCAAGATCTGAACCTGCGTCTTCAGGGGGAGTGTAACCCCATCCAACACAGGCTGTAACCCTATGCCCTGTTCGGCCTTTTGACTGACCCGGGGGACCTCTGTCTTGTCTGGATTCAGTTTAAATTTGTTAGCCCTCATCCAGTCCAACACAGCAGCCAAGCACCAGTTCAAAGTCTGAACAGCCTCCTTAGTAACAGGTGGGAAGGAGTGACAGATTTGTTTACACCAGGTCTGGCCATTCCAGAAGGTTCACGTTTCCTGAAAGTCACAGAAGCTGACAGTTCAGGCTCCTGCTACCTTGGGCAGATAAGGAGGCTCTGAACCTCAAGCTCACATAGCCTGCTGTGGCCTGCTTACCTTCAATTGATCCAGAAGCTTTGATTTTTAAAATATATCTTGCTCTTTAAATGGTCAATCCGCAAACTGTTCAACTGATATTGCTATCTGAGCATATTTCCTCTCCAGTAGCCACAAGCCATTTATGGATTTGTTGAAGTGACTATTCGGCCTTCAAAGCTGTTGAGCAAGCACCTTCGCCTAACCCTGGAAATATCAAATGCCTGTCACTTGCCCATTATCAATCTATCAAGCATACAGAATAAGAAGATCTTGGCGCTTGAAACCAAACATAGCAGCATTTCTCTTTGAAATGAAAACAAGGAATATTGCTTTCGTTTGGCAGGACCAATTTCTGATATTTTGCTGCCTGAAGTAAAGGATAAGATAGTGTCATCTTCTCAGTTCATTTACATAAGTGGTGGACAACAGCATGGCTCCTCAATGATCCATACTAGTGATTCTGGTGCAAATAATGTCATAGTTGTTCTTCATTTTTAACTGGTTTTGGAAAGATTGTTTTCTGAAAAAGCAATTTGGGATCTTTGAGATTGTGTGGATTGGTCTGAAAAACTACTAATAAGAAAAGAAAAAAAATGACTAGGAGTGTGGTTTAGAGCTCCCACCCCCTTTATAAAAACTAACAGGACTGAAAGCTTGGTGGTATTTCAACTCTGGCAATGGAACAGCACTTTCAATCATACCTGAAGGATATTTTAGGTAGTTGGGAAGATCCATGTGGCATGCCAAGCTCTGTTCACCAACAAAAGAAAACAACTGGGAATTTGCACCCATATGCATCCAAGCATTTGATGCCAGGAATTTTTTTGACTCATTATGTCTGATGTTAGGGCTGGCGATAGTACGTCTATAGACTTCTAATGTACTACTCTTTTATACTGTGTTTTTGTTGGTCTTTCGTGACCCCTCTGACACCCCCTCATGACCCCCCAGGGGTCCCAACCCCCAGGTTGAGAAACACTGGCCTAGCTGAACAGGATGGACTGTCTCCTGCCACTGAGGTGGCATAAGGAGTCACATAATAATAATAATAATAATAATAATAACAACACTTTATTTGTACCCCGCTACCATCTGCCCAAGGGACTCGGTGCGGCTTACATGAGGCTGAGCCCGAACACAACAATACAAGCAATAATCGCAACAATACAAGCAATTATTTTTTTCCCGACTTTTTATTTTTACAATACAGAAAATACATACTTTGCACACACAAAACATTTACAATTCCCACCACCAACATGAGGATTATTATCTTTCACATATTCATTTCTTTTTGAGACAATCATTATTTCTTTATCTTTATACATTTCCATCCTGTATGCTATATAGCATTTGTATCTTATTTCTTATGACCTGATCTCCAGAATGATTCATAATATAGTTCATTACCCTTGTCCATCTATCTTCCATTTCTCTCATTCGATTTTCATTGATTTTTAAATCATTTAATTTCACATTCATAATTTCAAATTCCATTTGCTCCACCATATAATGGTACCATTTATTTATTGTCCATTTTGATTTATCTTTCCACCCTAATACTATTACTGCTTGTGCACATTCAATTATTGCTTCTTTTATTTCCCTTTTATTTCCCATTTCCTCTCTTTTCCCTAATACCGCTAATTCCTTTGTTATGACCCACTCATTTCCTAATATTTGATTTGACACATTTTGTATAGTTTGCCAAAAATCTTGTACATATTCGCATTCCCACATCATGTGCATAAAGTGCCCTTTCTGGTGGCATCCATGCCAGCACTGACTACTCCCCTCTTTATAGTAGTATGCTAATTGGCAGGGTGTGCGATACCATTTGTGCAATATTTTCCTCCTCATTTCTCGTACTTTAGTATTCCTTTCCATCCCTATTATCTCTACCACATTTCTCATTTCTTGTTCCGAGATTTGTAACTCCGTTTCCCACATAGTTTTCAAGTCCTGTATTGTACATCCATCGGCCTCTATTAGCATTGTATATATTTTGCTGGCCTGTGCCTTCTTTCCTTCCCCTTTTTCTCTTATTATCTTTTCAAAGGCGGTATCTTCTCTCTTAAACAATACAAGCAATTAAAATAAAACATAAACATATAACATTATCAATAAGACAACATACAATTAAAACTATGGGAAGGCCAAATGTAAAATTAAAATTGGAAATAGTGCTGCAATGTGATTTGGAACCAGCATTTTTAATAGTGGCTCAAGCTGCATTATGTGACTATGTGAAAGTGCTCTGGGTGACCTTGGACAAACCACATTCTCCCAGCCCGGGAGGAAAGCAAAAGTATAGCACCTCTAAAGAAATCCATCAACTAAACCCAGGATAGGTTTGTCCTAAGGTTGCCATAAACTGGAAATTATTTTTAAACAGACAGCAGCAACAAAAATCATGTATTTATTTTGAATAAATCATTGCAGACTGTTCTGATTTTAGATTTTTCATTTGCGGTTTATTCAGTAGCCACTCTTCTTCTAAGCTTGAGTTACAAGGCTATAGAAGATGCCCTTGTAAGCAGAACTGTAGCAAGTTATTTTGTAATAGTGGCATGAAAATGAGAAAATTTGTGATAATTTTATATAAAAAAAAGCAAAAACCTGACAGTATTCTCTGCATATCTGTAAAATGATTTTACAGTTTTAATAAATGAAAGAATAATTTAATTAACTGCATATGGTCAGCAGTTTGAGAATCACCCCAGTTGGATATTTGCACCGCCAAATTACCAGAAGGCATAAGCAGCATGTTTACTTCCTACTGAATAATTGCATAGACTGCCTGCACTTTGTCCCTTGCATTTCTGTAAGGCAAAACAGCTAGAGATTTTTCTTTAACATTTCATGAAGGGGTGAAAATTAAATGTTCTTGCATAGGTCCACAGTTGGAAAGTAACATGTAACAAATAACCCGTAATGTGTTATCTTGGAAGTAATGAGGGCACAATAACATTCCTTTTGCCAAAAAGGAAAAAAAAAAACTCTCAATGTTTATCTCCCTTCTCTGTGCAATGAATAGCATTAACTTGATTATTTTTGTTGTTACTTTAAGAGGGATTGAAAATAATTTCTTGGGATGGTTTTCCCAAATTGTAGGCTATTTTCATACTTTAAAAACCCCAATACAAGCAGCCCCCAAGTTACAAACATCCAACTTAAAAACAACTCATAGTTGAGAACACAGAAATGCTGGACCACTCTCACAACCACCATGTCAGATTACACAGAGAAGACATTGAAATACACAAGCATGTGGACAATTTCAACAGAAAGACGGAAACCATGAAAATGAACAAAATCTGGCTACCAGTATTAAAAAAACTTTAAAATTACAACAGCACAACAACAGAGAGGAAACAAACAAGGACATCTAATCACCTCTCAACAAAAGTTTGCTCTAGGCACTGTCAGACCATTATATGCTAATCAAGGCGGTCAGTTGACACATTCACACCTAGCTCCAGCAGACAAGAGTCCTTTGTCTCACCCTGGTCATCCCACAGATATATAAACCCCTTTTCCTAGTTCCAACAGACCTCACTACCTCTGAGGATGCTTGCCATAGATGCAGGCGAAACGTCAGGAGAGAATGCCTCTAGACCATGGCCATATAGCCCGAAAAAAACCTACAACAACCCAACTCATAGTTAGGAATGGGGATGAGACAACAAGAAGTAAGAGAAATCTACACCTAGGAAGGGAAATTCACTCCTGAAAGGGTTATCATGGGAAAAAGGTGTCTCAGCTAAAGTTTTATCACCAATCCTTGTTTCCACAAGCCAACATTTTAAAAATCCAATTATTACAGGGAAGAAAATGAGGTGATATCTTCTGAACAGGGGCATAGACAGCAAAACAAAAACAACAGGGGTGTTAACACTTCCCTATACTATTCAAAGAAATACACACGTGCACACACACACACATGGCTGGAGTAGAGTTATACTTAAAAAATGTACCTGTTCTGACTTGGATATAAATTCTGCAGAACCTGTCTTGTTTGCAAATTGGGGACTATCTGTTTATTAAATAAACAATGGACAAGCACTGCAGGCAAGTACAAAAAAGTCCTGTTAACTGTGATTTACTATATTTTTGTGCTTTGTACAGAATTATTTAACAAATTGCTTAATGACAACAGTAACAACCCCCCTCCCCCCAGCAAGACTTTTCTGAGCTTCCGATAGAGTAGACCCTAACCTCCTTGATTATGGATCCAACTGAGAGATGTTGGGTCATCTATAGCAGGGGTCCTCAAACTATGGCCCGGGGCTGGATACGGCCCTCCAAAGTCATTTACCTGGCCCTCGCTCAGGGTCAACCTAAGTCTGAAACTACTTGAAAGCACACAACAACAACAACAATCCTATCTCATCAGCCAAAAGCAGACCTACACTTCCCATTGAAAAACTAATAAGTGTATATCTGTTAAAATTGTTCTTCATTTTAATTATTGTATTGTTTTTAAGTGGTTTTTGCTCTACAAGTAAGATATGTTCAGTGTGCATAGGAATTCATTCATGGTTTTTTTTTCAAATTATAATTTGGCCCTCCAACAGTTTGAAGGACTGTGACCTGGCCCTCTGTTTAAAAAGTTTGAGGACCCCTGATCTATAGCATAGGAAAAACAGTCATTGCATAGGTGATTTGTCCAGAAGCAGGCTAACAACCTAAAAACAAGACAGCAGAACAGCTATCAGTGACATATAGATGTATCACTTCAGTGAGAACTCTGTATTTAATGTGGCAAGAAAGAAAAGCAATCAGGTTACTGTCAGACCAATACATCACCTGACAACAAACTAAACCAAGGTTTGTTTTCTAGCAAACCCACCATGCTCCTACATCCATTGTTTCTTTGTACTGTTTGTTTTATGTTTCTTTTATTTTGTATGAAACTCACAACCTCATCACATTGATCAGGTCACATGGGACGATTTGCCAGCCTCCATGGTGAATTGGTAGGGCAACAGAGCAATCCCCACACCCTGCTACCCTATCACATGTGGGGAACTGTCACTGTGCAACTCCTGCTCCTTCATGCTGGCCCTTTTGTTCCCAATGGAACATGGGAAGCCTCCTGTGTTCTGGGCACAGCATCATAGGATGCTTATGCCCCAGTTGAGACCTGCTGGGACTGGATGGGGTGTGTATGTGTGTGTAATTTTACTATATTTGTACTCCTCTCTGAGAAATGTAGGACCGGGATATTTATTATTATTATTATTATTATTATTATTATTATTATTATTATGTATATTTCTATTTATTTATTTATTTATTTCGAGCACGTCTACCCCACCCTTCTCAACCCCCTAGGGGGGACTCAGGGCGGCTTACAACCGGCACAATTCAATGCCAACAATTCAACAGATAAAATACATAACAACAATAACCACAAGTTAAAACATTCAATTAATATAAAACAACTAAAAGCCAATCTAGTGGCCAACGTTCACCGAGTTCTAAAATCCGTAAGTCCATTCAGCATTACCATAGTCCTTTCCAAATTCTGGTTGTCATTACCTTGTTAGTCTGCCGGATTACCCAAAGGCCTGGTCCCATATCCATGTTTTCAGCTTCCTTCTGAAGGAGAGGAGGGATGTTGATGACCTAATTTCCCCAGGGAGTGAGTTCTACAGGCGAGGGGCCACCACTGAGAAGGCCCTTTCCCTCGTCCCCACCAGCCTCACTAGTGATAGAGGCGGGGCAGAGAGCAGGGCCTCCCCAGAAGATTTTAAACTCCGAGGTGGGACATAGAAGGAGATATATTTCTATCCCGCCCTTCTCCCTACAAGGGGACTCAGGGCGGCCTTACATAAGCATCCAAGGATGCAGTCCACATATACCAATAAAATACAATTAAAACAATAAAATCCATTTAAAACATTATCCAGATTCAACAGTAAATTCAATAACAATAAATTAGTGTGCCAATATACCAAGCAAAGCCGAGAAAAATCAAATATAGAGATGTCCATAAGTATTTCTTTCATATTGCCGTTCCCCTCTAGTCAAATGCCTGGTTCCAGAGACGGGTCTTCAGTTGTCTTCTAAAGGACAGGAGGAAGATGGCTAACCTGATGTCCTTAGGGAAGGAGTTCCACAGATGGGGGCCCACTGCCGAATAGGGCCTGTCTCTCGTCCCCGCCAACCATGTTTGTGAAGGTGGTGGGATCGAGAGCAGGGCATCTCCTGATAAGTTTCGTGATGGTTCATAGCAGGAGATATGTTTGGACAGGTAATCTGGACCAGAACCGTTCAGGACTTTAAAGATTAAAACCAGCACTTTGAATTGTGCTCGGAAGCTGATCAGCAGCCAGTGGAGCTGGTGCAAAAGAGGAGTAGTTCACTTCCTGTACGCCGCTCTGGTTAACAACATGGCTGCCGACTGTTGGACTAATTGAAGCTTCTGAGAGGTTTTCAAAGGCAGCCCCACATAGAGAGCATTGCAGTAATCCATTCGGGATGCAACAAGAGCATGGATCACCATGGGCAAGGATATGCCCTTTTATCATCAGGAACGAGTGGACATAACTTCATGTTCATTTCCTGTTCCAGAAAAAATGTCTCTTGTGGTTCTGAATTGGCTTGTGAAAGTCAAAAAATATGCCCTTGTTTTGCCAGAGGTAATTTGGGGACAATTGTTGACCCATCAGGGAAGCCCTAGGGGATGTCAAAAAGCAGTTTTGATAGCTCCATGTGGCCTGTAGCCTACACTTTGTTCACCCCTACTCAAAACCCTGTATGCAAGATCAGGCTGACTCCATGCAGATTTCTGTGGCTGGGTGTGGATTTGTGAAGTGTGTTCTATGTTCCAGTAGCTCACAACATGACTGTAAACAACTGCCAACAAAATGAAAGCCATGTGTTATTATGCGTTGAAGCAGTGTATTATCTTTTATCCAAAACTGTCCTTGAGGCAGTCTATGAGGGACTAATGGTGTATCCACGTTACACAATTATATCATTTCCGTCCTACTTTAATTGTCCTGACACCATGCTGTGGAATCCTGGGATTCGTAGTTTTGTGAGATATTTGAAATTATCT